CTCCAGGACTGGGGTATGTGCATGGGCTTTAAATCAGCAGCTATTTTTAGCTTTGCTTTATATGGCCAGGGAAGGAATGAGGGCTATAGCAGGGGGAGGGCACCAAGAGGCTCCAGTCCAGGGGCCTTCCCCACCCCCAGTCCTTCCCATGCCAGAGCTGAAGAACTTAACCTTCCATCAAAGCAAGGCTTGGGAGAGAGGGCGGCTGGGTGGAGGTGGGAATGGCAGGGCCTTCAAAGAAGGTGCTGGGCAACTTGCTTTAGAATAGTGACTTTCAACCTTTGAAACCATGACACTCAGTAACAAACACTCTTACCACAAGACACAAACAAACACGGATGTTTTAAAGGCACACAGGGATACAAATGTGTGCCTGTGCATTATATTTATGCACATGCATGTATACATATATAGCCTTAACTAAACTTTTTCCCAGGAAATGATGCTTATTCTTGTTCTCTGGGAAAGACTCCAATCATTTCTGTTCTATACTTACCATTCTTTCAACCCGAAAAGTGGAGCTCCTGACCGACTAAATCGATCTGTCTACCAACAAACAAACAGACCGTCACCCCCAGTCTGGAAAGTTCATGTCTGCATTGGTTTAGCCGCCAGTAACTGCAAAGCAAGGCAGCTTCTCAATATCCCGGACAAGATGCAAGCTTCAATTCTCTGTGGAGACTGAAGAGCGACTTTCGGGCCTCCTGCATTTGTGGCCTCTGTCCTTTCAACCAAGAGTGGTCCAGCTCGCTCAGGAACCTGCGACGGGGCTTAGCTGACCACTTACTCCGGAAAGTCCTCCCGAATGCTCAAGCCTCAGCCTCGGGCTCTAGTCCCTCTCCTGGCCCTGCCTAGCACTGACTCCTGTGACAAGCGGCTCCTGTCACATTCCTGGCTCGATCACTCTGTCCTTTCTACACTTCCCAGTAATGTGTAGTGCTTGCTTTGCAAAATACAATATATGCCTATTGGATGAACTGACAATCTTAGTAGTAACAACGCAGCTAACATGTACCGGATTCTGTCATTTTCCCCATGGGACGCAGATGAGGGGGCAGCCTCGCTGGCTCAGTGGGTAAAGGCCTCTGAACCGGATAATGTGAATTCAGTCTCCAGGTCCTTCACCACAGAGAGAGAAAACCAACTCCCACAAGTTGTCCTCTGACCTCCACACATGCTGTGGTGGTCACATATGCCTAACTACCCCCCACCAAGTAAATGTAATGATAATAGTTTTAAATCATATGAGAGATTAGGAGTGACTCATTCATGGATGAGAAAACTGAGGCCCGGAAATCATCCACTGGGGCAGGGTCACACCTGGCATTTGTCTTGCCCCCACCTGCTCCTCATTTTATTTGTCCACATTCCTCATGGTGCCACCCAAGAGAGGGCAAGGGGCAAGTCCTTAGCAAACCCTCATGGGACTGATGACAGGTTGATTAAAGACATTTTCCGAAGCAGCAGCCACATCTAAATTTGGAGGGTTACGCCTTGCATGTGGCTTGGGAGAGAGAACCCAAAAGATTTCCTGGGTTCCTGGATGTGGGGCCATCTCCCTGGGAAGGAGAAGGCTGGACAAAGCAGTGCGGCTGGCCTTCAGTCCATCCGACTTCAAGAACTCCAGGACACACTTCGGTTCAAACTCAGGACCCATAAACCCGGGCCACCTAGCCTATGTCCGCAATTCCAACTTGCACGCCTGCCTCAGCCTCCTTGTTCTTCAGCCATGCTGAGTCTGGTCCCACCTCAGCCTTGGCATCTCCACTCTCTGCTTGAAAAGCTCTCCTCGCTAGTTCTCTCCCACCTGCAGCTGAGGCAACTTCATGCAACCACCCTCTTCCTTCTCTATTGGTAAACTTGAGAAAGTGTGTGTGTGTGTGTGTGTGTGTGTGTGTGTGTGTGTGGTTTCCCTGGTTTTCTCCTGTCTCCACTAAGCAGGGCCTTCTGGAGAATCTTGTCTGCTCCCTGTCCCAGTCCCTAGCACTAGGTGTGACACCATGGCAGGTGGCTGGTGCCGTTGACTGCAGAAATGAATAGGCTTCCTCCTTTTAGACATGTTGGCAGGTCAGCCCACTATATCCTGTGCTCACCTCAGCCCAGCAATGTGTGTCCCTGTGAACCACATCCAGAACTCCAAGCTGCTGGAAAGAGAGAAGAGCCATAGGAAGGGATATTTGGGCACATACCTGCTGTGCACCTTTGTGCACAGATGACAGACACTCTAGACACACGCACGCAATGACTGTGTCAATTTCATGGCTGGGAAAACTGACACTTGCTCTCTGCCATTCATCTGATGCCTAGAACCATGCCCAACAGAAATGTCTGCTGAGTTGAACTGCACTGAGTTGGAAGCTTGGTGAATGACTCAAAGTCACCAGAATTTGTCCTCGATTTAATCCAGTTCCATCAGGTTTACAGAACTGTTCTATGAAGCTGGAGGGACAGAGTTGAAGGCTGCTCCTCACCCAGGCATGGACCTATCCTGCCCCTCAAGATGCTCTCAACGTGTCTCAGCTTGCGCAAACTCACCCAGGGCTCCGCTATCGCTCGGCCCTCCTTCCCTGCTCCACACTCAGAAGGCCCTTTTCCCATATCTGTCTCAAAGAAGAGGAATAAATTGTAACTACAATACTCTCAAGTGGTTTCTCGTGCCAAGTATAATTGTTTTCTAAAGAGTCACAGCTTTGTGTCACACCACACAGCAGGGAAGTGTCGTGGAAGTACCCCAACCAGAGGAGCCACAGGGCATGGGGGTGCATATCTACTATCCCAGCTCTCCAGGGGCTAAGGCAGGAGGATTACAAATTCAAAGCCAGACTGAGCTACAAAGTAAAATTCTGTCTCAACATAAAAGATTTCAGGAGTCAATAATTGTTTTCTGAGAGTAAACAGGTAACTGTTTTATGAGCCAATAGTGGGCAAAGATGAAGGTGCCTTATGGAGGCTTTCATCTACTATTGGTGTGTTATGAAACATTTTTCTTTAGTTATTCTTCACATGATTATTGATGTAAAACAGTCTCATTTCACAATATACACAAAGCAGGCCAAGTGATCTCTATAATTCGCTCATCCCTGATTCCTTCTCTTCCTTGCTTTCCCCCTTTCTCCCCCCCTCCCCCCCTTCCTTTCTTGTCAGGGTCTCACTATGTCGTCAGGCTGTTAGACAGTGACCCTCCTGCCTCAGTCTTCCAAGTAGCCAGACTATAACATGGTACCAGTAAAGCACTGAAACCCCTAACATGCTTCAGGTTTTCCTGGGGAGTGTGTTAAAACAGCTGCTGTTGCTTACAGAGGGTCTGCCGAGCCCTGAACTTGCATCTTCGCCTGAGGGTAGAAGCTGGTGCTGTCTGTTTACTGCCCAGATTCTGAATACCAATGTCGTGAGTGTTCCATTGTAACTAAGTCTTGGGTAAGCGACATGTCCTCACTGCAGGTGAAGTAAAGTATCTGCACTGCCATTTTCCAGTGCTCTTTCGCCTCAGAGAACTCTTCTATATTTCTTTTAACCATTATGCCCCCCGAGCCTCTTTAAGTTCCCTCTCTATGGCACAATCCCTAACTCCTACTCCCAAGATCACAGATCTGCCACCAAAATCTAGCTCAGGAAGGGTGTCCTGAAAAGTCTTCCCCTCGCCACTATTTTCTACCGCCACCCTTTGACATGTTTGTGTGTAGTGCTTGCCTGTCTGCCTGCCTATCTTTGAAGGAAGAGTCTGTGTCCTGGTCCTCTTTGTACCTAATCATTTGTGTAACAACTGACAAATAGGAAGTCCCACTGAAACATGCATGTGGGTGATGGGTGGGTGGGTGGATGGATGGATGGATGGATGGGTGGATGGATGGGTGGGTGGGTGGGTGAGTAAATGGATGGGTGGGTGGGGTGGGTGGGTGGATGGATGGGTGGGTGAGTGGATGGATGGATGGGTGGGGTGGGTGGATGGATGGATGGATGGATGGATGGATGGATGGGTGGGTGAATGGGTGGGTGGGTGAGTGGATGGATGCATGGAATGGGTGGGTGGATGGATGGATGGATGGATGGATGGATGGATGGATGGATGGGTAAAGAGCTGCTGGTTGAATGGATGGATGAGTTGATGGGTAAATTGGTGAGTAGGATGAATAGATGGATGGATGGATGGATGGATGGATGGATGGATGGATGGATGGATGGATGGGTAGATGGACAGGTTAATAGCTGCTGGTTGAATTGATGGATGAATAGGTGAATGGATAGTGTGGGTGGTTAGATGTGTGGATGAATAGATGGGTGAATGGATGGTAGATGGTTAGATGTGTGCATTGGTCGATGGATGAGTGGATGGATGGGTAGAAGAGTTGGCGGATAGTTGGGTGGATGGATGGGTAAATTAATGGTGGGTGGTTGGATATGTGGGTTGGTGGATGGAATGATGGATGGATGGATGGACGGATGGATGGATGGGTTGACAGAGAAATGGATGAATATACACTCTTATGACATACCCTGTGAACATAATTTTCATAGCAAAGTTGAGGCCAGTCCCCAGATCCACTAAAACACAAGCTAAAATCTAACTGTTTACATACCTAGAAAGTGACAAGTGTCTGATGAGTGTATATTTATTTGACAGCCTTGGACTAATCATTCCTGTCAATCTTCTCAATAACCCCTTTTATTGTCCCATCTTTACCGATAAGAATATAGATACAGCCAATTGTAGCAGCACAGGGTTTTAATCCCAGCACTCAGGAGGCAGAGGCAGGCAGATCTCTATGACTTCGAGGACAGCCTGGTCTACAAAGTGAGTTCCAGGGCAGCCAGAGCTATGTAGAAAAACACTGTCTCGAAAAAACAAAAACAGCAACAAAAATACAGAGAGGCAGAGTAGCTTACCCAAAGCCACACAGCAAATATCACCTAGACCATCTATTTCTTTGCCAACTACCCCATTTTTTTCCCGTCGCCCCTTCTGGACCCCACTGAAGCTTTACCGGGTCAACTGGGCTCACCTCCATCTGCGTAGGTCTCTGTGCCATAGCCGTCCTGTAGGCCATTGTTCCAAGTGCCCTCGTACTTGGCACCACTGCTTGAGCTCTGCCGGATTCCGTAGCGCCCCTTGAAGCCATGCGTCCACTCCCCTTTGTAGAGCCAGCGCCCCTTGGTCTCTATGCCAAGCCCATGTCGTTTGCCCTGGCTCCAGTATCCCTCAAAGGTATTCCCACTGGGCCAGGTGTAGACGCCCGCCACTTCAAAGCCAAAATTCCAGGAACCCGAGTATTCGCCCTGGCCCTTGGGGCCAGTGCACAGTCCGTGCCCATGTGCCTTTCCCCCCTCCCAGCCCCCACAGTACGCTCCACCATCGTCAAAGTCAAAGCGGCCCCCGCTCATCTCATCCTCACTCCTGACACCGGCCCGGTCCTCCAGCTTGGGCCGTTGGGGTACCTGATGGTCTCCAGGCACCCTCAGGCTGAGCCCCGAGACTCACCACCGGGTTCCAGAAGAGGGGAACAAGCAAGATGCCCACAGAGGCTGAAAGAGACCAAAGGCCAAGTCAGCAGTGGGGGTGCTGGTCAATGCCATGGTTGGGAGGCCCCCTTAGTCATCCCAGCAAGGTTGCAACTCGCAAAGGAAGTGGACAGAAGAGACTTCAAGTTCCCACAAAGCGTCCCAGGTCCAGCTTCCATGGAATCCGGTGTGCCCTCCTTAAGAAGAGCAGAGAAAGGAGTAGCCGAGTCCTGTCTTTTCAACGCGGGGCAAGTCCCGCATTAGCAGCCTAGCCAAGGCTGAATTCCCGCTGCCCACCCTGAAGCAGCCGCTGGCCCCCTTCTCATCCACCGGAGTGGGCGTGCGGCTCAGATCTCCCGGCTGCCCCGCCCCTTCTCCAGCCCTGCCTTCCTCCCAGGATAGAAAGGTCAGTGTTGCCCTAACAAGGCCATTGGATCTCAGAAGCTGCTCCCAAAATAACCCCCTGGCTGGCCCAGCCTCCTTCAGAGCCGGAGGGAGGGGGGCTTCCAATCCGCTGGGCCTGTAGACCCAGGCAGTGGCCCGAGGACTGAGCAGGAAATCTGAGAACTAAGGGACAGCCGCGCCACTTGGTGGTTTGCCTTCTTGTGGGTCTGAGCTGCGTCCCATCTGGGAGTTCCCAGGATTCGCAGGCAGGAAGAAGAGCGTGAGACCAGCCGACTACCCTATCCCGAACCACTTCATGTCCGCCAGATAGCAGAGGGGGGGTGACAGAGATGGGGCCCTACAACTTTTAGCATGCCATGACAGGACCTGGGGCTTCATGGCCACTGCCAACCCCATTAAAGAATTCAGTGACCTAAAGAGAAAGGAATGGGGGAAATGGTTGCACATATGCCTTTGAAGGCAGAATAGAACTCAGAGAGGAGAGAGTCTAGCCACAGTCTGAAATCCTCCACCTGACCCCACACCCAGCCCAGGTACCTGGGGAGAAAACCCTGGTAGAAAGGGGCTGGGGAGATGGCTCAGTTGGTAAAGTGCCTGCATGCAAGTGTGAGGCCCTGAGTCAGATACCCAGAACCCACTTTTTAAAAAGAGAAAGAAAGGAAAGGAAAGGAGAGGAGAAGGGAGGGGAGGGGAGGAGAGGGGAGGGGAGGAGAGAAAAATAGTGGTGACACAAGCCTGTAATCCCAGAACTGGGGAGGTGGAGACTGGCAGGTCCCTGGGGCTCACTAGCTGGACAATCTAGCTTAATTGATTAGCTCCAGGCTACTGAGAAACACTTTTTAAAAATTGGGGGTGACCCTAAGGAATAATACCCAAAATTGACCTTTAGCCTCTACACACACACACACACACACACACACACACACACACACGCACACACACACACACACACACGGGAGGGGGTGTGTGTATCAGTCAGTCAGTCCAGCCCTTTCCCATCTCACTGAAAAACACACACACTTCCACGAGCAGAGAGGAAACTGCCCTCCCCTCTGATCTCTTGACACAGGATGTGGGCTGTGGTGGAATGAGATTCACTTAGAAGCACCCGAGATCATTATTTTTGCAGTATCCCCCTTCCCAAATTTGCTTTTGCTCCAGTATCCTAAAGGGCTAGGCTTCATAAGGCTCTTGAGGCAGGAGCAAAGGGCTTGGATGGGTTTCCATTACCCAGGTTCCCACCAACCGCCGGTAAGAAGTAAATGTACAAGACAAGGAAGACACGGCAAGCCCTAGCTGGGTCCTGGTGAGCAGGAATAAGTCTGGGAAGGGTAAACACCACCAAGAAAGAATTTGAAGTTGGGTATGTGTATGTGTGTGCATGTGTGTGTGTTCGTAGTATGGCTGGAACGGAGGAAGGTCAGAAATTAAAAAAACACCTGAGGCCCAAGAGAGCATCAGACTGTTGCCTGACTTCAACCACGTCTATCTGACGTATTTCCAAGTCCCATGATGGTTTTGGCCACTGAACGTCACTGCAGACATTCCCTGCAGTGTTCTCTGGGCAGACCGTGTTCTCTGCCTTCCTCTCTACTGATAACCAGTTCTTGTGACTCGGTTCCTGCTAATTGCTGGTTCTCATGATTATGTGCATGGCCACCGACCTTACAGAGTTCCTTTAGTGTCCCCACAAACTGTCATATCAGCCAGGTGCCTGGCACCCTGTCCAGGTAGCCCTTCAGCCTGCCCAGGCAATTTCCCACTCAGAACACTTTTCCCATTTCTTTCCCAAATTCTTTCAAGCTTGGCAGTCACTGAAAGAGGAATGAGCATTCAAATGGAAAGAAGCGTGGTGGGTGCCTCTAAGTGTCCGTCAGTCACTGTAATGATGATCTACGGTTAGGTGTATTCCAGGAGGGGTTCCATCCATACACATTTATTCCTGCTCATCCCAGTAGCTCCCTGTGATAGATCCCTTCCAGAAGAATCGCCTGCAGCCTAAATATTAAATACCCTGACTTTGAAGCACGCTCTCCATTCCTTCAGTATCACCCTGTGGCTTTGCCATTGATTGACCATATGACTAGTAAAGGAATACTTTGATTTTGTAAAAACAAAATTCAGATTGCAGGATTTGGCAGTGGCATTATTGGCACTCAGCCGTGGTTGAGCTTTCAGGCAAGCTGTGGTTTCCCCCAACACACATAATAAAAAAAAAAAAATTAATCCTGTGAATTTTGAGAAATCACGCCCTCTTGTGGCTATGTGTGTATTATAATATTATTTAAAGCAGTATGGGGTTGGAGAGATGGCTCAGTTCAAAGCAATCACTGCTCTTACAAAAGACATGGTTTCAAGTCCTAGCTCCCACCTAGCTTACAACAATCCCTATGACTCCAGTTCCAGAGGATCTGACCTTTTGGGCACTGCATGTATGTGGTATACAGACATACATGCAGGCAAAATATTCACACATAAAAAACATTTTTTGGGGAAAAAAATCTGTCTTCCCAAGATTTCCACCACTGCCTGGCTCTGTGTTGTCAGAGGCAGTCAGTCACACCCTTCCTCATCTTCCTTCTCCGCATTGGGCTGCCTCCAAGGGAGCCCCTGGCGAGGGAACCTGAGAAGAGGCAGGACCTCTGAACTTCGGAAAGCCTGAGAAGGCCCACCTTCTTCCCTGGAGCCTTTTGGCATAGCGGCTGGGTCAGCACCCCTCCCCAGTCTGGCTCCTCCCAGACCCCTGTGCAAAGCAAGGCTTATCTTTGTTCTACTATATAAATACTTGTTATGTTCACGTCCCACACTGGCCCGCCCATGCCTGCAGAGGTGCTCCTGTTTCTTTACATGTGTGCAACTGAGACCTCCCTTGTCACAGCGGCTTTCTCAGCTGACCTGGAGTACTCACTCCTCCTTTTGGTTAGCCCACTGCCTCAACAGGCTCCTGCCCGGTTCCTGACCATTGTTCCTTGGAAGTCCCAGAACTTTTCTTTTTTGAGACAAGGTTTCACAATGTTTCCCTCGAAATTCTGGGTTCAAACTATCCTCCTGCCTCAGCCTCCATAGTCGCAGACTACAATTGTCTAGTACTGTGTCTTGCCCTTACTTGACTGTATGTATGTCTGTACACTCACACGTGTGCTTTACCACTTAGTTAAATCCCTGAGCCCACTTTTGTCAATTTTTAAGTTGCATCTGTTTCTTTGTGTGTGTGTGTGTGGTGTGTGTGTGTGTACACATGTATACGGCACAGTGCATGTGGAGGCCAGAGGATAACTTTCAGGAGTTGATTCTCTCCTTCTACCCTATGGGTCCCAAGGACTTAGGACTTTAGCCTCCGTGGCAAGGAACTTTGCCCCGAGGCATCCTGCCTGCTCCTCTGATATACTCACTGCCTAAATGTTCTGTTTTCATGACTTCAAAAACCTTTTGATTGTGTTTTGTTTTTCAAGACAGGGTTTCTTTGTTTAGCTCCGGTTATCCTAGAACGACCAGGCTGGCCTCAAACTTAAGAGATTCACCTATCGCTGCCTCCCCAGTGCTAGGATTAAGGGTGTGTGCCACCACTGCCCAGCAAAAATCTTTTTTTTCTTTTTAAAGTAAATTGTTTATTTTAATTAGGTCTTTCTAGCCGTTTCAGGCCCCCCAAAAGGGCAGAAAGTACAGCATCCACACAAACTCCCCCTAATTTCTTCTAAGATCTTATTTTAGCATCATTTAAAAGAATCCATATCCTGGTAGCTACTAAATTTGCCTTTCCAGCTGTGCCCCTCCTCCTGCTTTCTGTAATTATGCAAGCAACCGCTCAACTGCTCTACATATCTAAGACAAGAACAAAACCAAATTCCCAGTACCCCCTTCAAATCTGTGCCAGCTCTTAACTTCTTAAAAGCTGCCAGAATATTCCTAATTCCTCTCCTCACATCCTTGAATTAGGTCTCTCTACTGTACGTATAAAATCCAGAACATTCTCCTGCACTCAGCTGTCCAGTCGCCAGAAACTACAAACCTCCCTCCCAATCATCCACTCAGTAGCCAGCATTTGGGTCCCCATGCTGCAAGTCTGTAACCCCAAAACTTGAAGGCTGAAAGCGGGAGTAAGCCTAGGCCACTAGGCCCAGAGTGTGAGACCCTGTCTTCAAACTTGTCTCTTCATGTCTCTTTCCTTTACACACCCACCAAATGGCTACCTCACTCACCAGGAGCCAAAGCTTTTCAAACTACTGGTCCACAAATTGACCCCCCCAGCTCTGATCTCACTTGCTCGAGCAACCTATAGATTCTAGTAGTTCTGTCTGTTGAGTACTCTTCCTCGGCTGCCCATTATGGCTCACCGTGATTCCTTCAGGTCCAACGCTACTTTATCCCAAACACTTCTAGGTCTGAAATGCAATAGAAATCCCACTCCCTACCCGAACCCTTCCTATCTTCTAACCATGTCCCAATCCATAAGCACTGTATTCACCTCTCCTCACTGACAAGGACACTATTCTGCCACCTGGTGTATTCCCAGCCCTGGTACAACATGCACTGCTCATGCTACAAACAAATACCCACAGACTGCTCAGAGTACCAAAAGCACGTGGAACTCGTCTCAGTCACGGAAGAATCCATTCTCAGGATTAACCACACCCATATGGACCCTCAGCAAAGACCAAGAGGAATGGGACGAGTCATTATCCACAAGGATCAAATGCTCTCACGAAGAACACTAGACTGAAATTTGCCCAACTGGATGTGAGCAGGATAATTTTTAACCTCAGTATTCATGTTTGTTTGAGAAAGGGTCTTGGCTTATAGCTCAGGCTGGCCCTGAACTGACTCTTCCTGCTTCTGTTTCCCAAATTGTAATTAAAAGTGTGAGACTACACCCCAGCAACTGTTTTGAGGAAGATTTTGAGTGGAATACAAGTGACTTATGGCTTATTTCCACAAATCTAAAATTTCTAAACTCTGACCTGACCCCTTCAAGAAGTTACTAAGTCAGTGGGACTCTGCCCTTTATAAAACAAAATGATTTAAGAGGCTTAGGAATTCATCTGAAATCATTTTAAGTAGCTTGCTAACTACAAATCCTTTCCCCACAATAAAACACTAGTTATTGGAATGGAATCTTTACCATCAATCAATACCCTGTCTAAGTGGTTCCCTGGAGCCTGGACCTTTTGAGGAATCTGAAAGGTCATAGTTTTCATGGCACTGAGAC